CAGTTTTCCCATTCAAAAAGTCTGCTTTACTCTCCGGATGATTAAGACCCTCCCCTGGGGTTCTCAGCTTATGGCGCTGATCCGACACGCCTCACACACATTAGCCCATGGGGGAATAGTCAGTCCAGCGCTAGACATTAGAGCAGCAGACCACGTGTCCACTGCTCTCACACCAAACTGGGAAGCAGTAAAGCACTCTTATAAATTCCAGTCCCTGACTATCATCAGTGCTATCGCCAGAACATCTATCCTTACGCTGGCCATCTTCGCCGCCAGTAGCACTAAACAGCCACTAAGGGCCCCCACCCGCCGTAGCAATGATAAACCGCTCCTCTATTTGAGATTTGAGTTTCCCGCCTCCTCCTCACGATCAAAAGAAAGTGATTGGCCAGAGCAGGGCGGCTGCCGCTCCTCATTTCAATAAGACTCAGGATTTGGCTGCTAGCTTCACCTACTTGGTGCTGCGTCACTCTGCTGCCAGTCCTATAGTGCATTGCGCACAATTGAAAGTGAATGGAAGCCATCCAAAATTTCACGCCACACCGCTGCAGTGTGTCCCAAATGGCTTGCTTAATCGGCTGCGTGCCCTGACAAAATGACATAAAGCTGTGTACTCCAGCCTCCTTCTCCACTGACTCGGCACCCCTGTATCAGGTCAGTCCCTCAGCAATCACATTCAGCAGAGCGCAAACATGCGCCTTTTTCTCCGTTGCAACGCTACAGCGCCACACACAGACCTAGAATATTTACTACAGCGTTTTGGGTCGTTTTCGGCGTCTCCATGTGGATGCAGATATTTTTGGAAACGATGCCGTGTAGACGGGAGGGTGTTTACAAACGACAAAAAAAGAGACCGTCCTCGAAAAAAGGTCCAGACCACTCGTTCACAGCAAAGAAACGCTTTGAGATTCCTCTCGCAACCGTCCATTCTTGCAGAGCACACAATACGCATGCGCTTTTGAAAACAGTGCTGATTTAATGGATAAATATTTGTATTTTATGCATTGATTTGGAATGACAGTGTATTAAATTAATTTGCATACGATAACATCACATTGATAATTTGGTAATATTTAATCCAATTAACTTATAATAATTAGAAAATGGTTGTGTTATTACTTTTTATTAATGACAAAAATGACAGCACCTGAACAATCTTATACATAAGGCCAAAACACCACCACCTCTGCATTCAGTCACGGCCGTTCCCCCTCCATGACTGATTGTTAGACACCACATTGCCACAAGCCAATTTACTGGACCAATCAGGCTCTGATTGAATAACAATGAAATGAGCTGACAAGGTGGAGGGAGTTTTACTTAATTATTTAGCCTTTTCTTAATTATTATTTTATTATTCCTGTAATCTTTCTTTGTAATATATCTGTAGGCTTATTTAATTAAAAAAAAAAAAACATACACCCTGAATCAATTAAGTTATAGTATGATGATATCACCATGTCTTTAAAACATTGTAGCCTATTTCAGTGCTGATTGGTTAAACGAGTTACGGGTCCCTCACAGCAACGATTTATCAACTACTAATGCTTTAGTGAGGACGCGCTTGGCAAAGAAGGTCTTTGCAAAGTTCCTCCTAACGATTGTGTTTGGGAAACCCACGTAACGAGAGAACGTTACATTTCGAGAACGTTTCCAATTGTATGATATTGCTAAGTTTCATAAAAAGTATTTTAATACATAATAGAAGAAGAGGTTTTTAAATATGGCATCTATCCATGAAAATTATGGAGGCTCTTAGCGCTAAGAGCTTCTTTAGATCCTTCTTAAGGCTCCAGTAAGAAGCAAACGCGTTTCCCAGGTTCCTTCTTAGCTTAAGATGATCTTTTGTTAAGAAGAATTTGAAAGAAGGGTCTGGAGCACTCTTAACGCCCTTCTTAGCGACGAAACACTGCAGATACAGCCGCGTCAGGCAAATCAATGTGACACTATGCAAGGAGATATTAATGCAGTGCGTACGGTTCATCCTCATTTTATCCCCCCCTCATGCACCCCTACTACCCATTAAGCATTTAAAATGAGGGAAAACTTACATCTCTCCTCTATGGTTCCATGTGTTTAAATATTTTACCATATTTCCCTAATTTTTCCCTAATATTTCCTGTCTTCTACTTGACCGCTTGTTGTACGCTCTATATATAAAGCAACTTGAGCTGCATGTCTCCAATCAAGTTGAATAGGGTTTAACCGCAGGGCACAGGCACACAGCCTCTCTCCAACGCAGGGACAATTCACACATGTACTGAAATTGAACACAGCTGGAAAGTAATCAAGGGAGGTTTCACCTGCTAGTCTACATATAGGGGTTTCCCAGTCACACATGTGTGAGATACCATGGCTGCTAGACAGCATATTCTTGCTGCAAACCAACAGCGTCGCCGTGCGCGGAGCCAGATGGTTTATATAAATGCATTTGTGTGTCACCACTTCGGTCCCCTGGACGTGCTACCAGACCACACTGTCCAGGCAAAGTACAGGTTGCCTCGCCCTGAGATCCAGCGCCTGATCCAGTTGGTGTCTCCACACATCCGGAGGGCAACTTGCTGTAACTTCACCCTGAGCCCAGAGGTGCAGCTCCTGGCTGCGCTGCGTTTTTACGCAGTGGGGAGCAACCTGGAGGTGGTGGGGGATGGCACTGCCCTCAGTAAAGCGTCGGTGTCACGGAGTGTGACAGCTGTGACACCGATCCTCCTGCGCCATGTCCAACAGCATATCAGGATGCCCACCACGAGGGAGGAGGTCTGTCAGGTCCACCAAGAATTTTACGCCATGGCTGGGATCCCCAGGGTGATAGGTGTGGATGGCACGTTGATCCCGCTCCTCAACCCATCCCTAGAGGACCCAAGCTGGATCAGCAGGAAACAATATGCTGCCATCAACACACAGGTGGTGGTGGACCACGACGGGCTGATCACCGACATCGTTGCCAAGTGGCCAGGAGGCACCCATGACAGCTTCGTGTGGGCCAACTCGGCTGTGGGGCAGAAGGCTGGCAGGGGAGAGTTTGACCGGAGCTTCTTCCTTGGGGACAGTGGCTACCCTCTCCGCAGCTACCTGATAACTCCCATACCAAACCCGGCATTGCCAGCGGAGGAGAGGTTTAATGACTCCCACACCCACACCAGGACCCATATCGAACGGGTGTTTGGCAGGTGGAGAGCACGCTTCCGCTGCATTCATCGGTTGTCGGGTGTCACCTGTTAAGTCCTGCCAAGTCATCGCTGTGACCGCTATGCTCCACAACATAGCTGTGCGCACCAGGGCAGATGAGCCGCCTGCTCTACATGAGAATGAGTCATCGGAGGAGGAGAACAATGATGACCCACCACCACCACCACCACCACCCCACCATGAACCCCGAGCAGCACTCCACCAAGCCGGTCTCCTGGTCAGACAGGAGCTTATCAACCTGTTCTGATTTTGGATATCCCCACTTCCCCACCCTTTTACCTTGCAGTCACCAACCAGTCCACTGAGCACTTGTACACCACCCACCCCCCCAATCACCACCACCACCAAATAAATAAAAAAAAAACACTAAAAATAAGCCCACTGCCATCATGTAGTGCGGCAAGCATCATATCAGCTGTTACTCTTACCCCCAATTTCCACATACTCCGTCTGCGCTGCGCAGCGCAGCGCCACGCGCTGCGGAGCAAATCGCTCCTATTCTAGCCAATATTTGCATTTCCACAGCGCACGCCACGCAGCTTCTCTGGAGCGTCCCAAAAGCGCCACTGTGCTCCGCTTCGCCAGAGATACGCGCCTGGTATATTTTTCAGCAACTTCGCTCCCCTTTCGCGTCAATTGACGTAGACCAAATCGCACCAGACAGGAAATTAAAAGCACCAAACGGGGCTCCGCTGCGTGGCGCGGTGCTCCAGAAACGCATCTATTGGGCAAGGGCTCGCGCCATCGGTCGCTCCAGATTTGCGGTGCTGCGCTGCGCGGTGCAGACGGAGTATGTGGAAATCCGCCTTTAGGGATAGCAGCAAAGCTTATAAGATTTGCTGCTTTCCCTAAGAGTAACAAAGGAAACTGCATAATTATATGCAAAATTATATCAGAAAAATAAGAATGAAAACATAAAATGAAATAATATGACATTGCATGAGGTACAGTATCATGTAATGTTATATGATTTCACTCATGTAATGTTATGATTTCATTTTGTGAGACATTACGTGTCAGTTGGACTGACCTTCCCGGATGACCATCTCCGAATTCCTTCCTACTTTGATATATCATTTATCAATGTATCTGAAGTACTCTCCCCAAATATTTAATCAAAATTCCACATAGTCCTCGAGTTTCAGGCCTTTAAGTGTGAGGGGGGTCTGTGCTCCCGAGCAAATCCTTATTTCTGGGCCATTTTGAGGGGGCTACTATGAGAAATCCAAAAGTGGTACAGGTCTAAGTTTAATTACACAAGTAGTACTACTTATAGAGACCAGAGAGAAAATATAAAATCATACCCCTTGTGTCATGGGCTGATGCTTGAGGCTCGGAAAAATGGGAAAAAATCAATGGGCCATAACAAATTTTAAATAATCAAAAATTTGTCAAAATTAGAATTCTATCTCCAGCAACTAAATCTTTGGGCTACTAATTAAGGTAGATACGGAGCTTGTATGGGGATAACAATTATTCCTTGACTGGTGGCCAAAGTCAGCCAATTTAGTGAAATAGCCTAATTTCGGCGGCCATTAAGGCCATGTGGCCCAACTTTTATCGATTTGCAATATTTTTTCCTCGAATGACTACATTTTAAGCTTTCGATTGAATGTGGTTTCTAAGGTGTTCCGTATTTCTTTCTGGGTGAAACAATTTCATCAAAATTTCATCATTTTAAGCTTTTTCCAACCATTTCCCACATGGACCACCTCAGGATACAGTTGTAATCAGTGTTAGAAGTACTAAAATAGGTACCTGGGGACATGTTGAAGCCCAGTAAATATATCTGAATAAAAAACATCATGGGCGGCACGGTGGCATAGTGGTTAGCACTGTTGCCTCACAGCAAGAAGGTCGTGGGTTCGATTCTGGCCTAGGGCCTTTCTGTGTGGAGTTTGCATGTTCTCCCCGTGTTCGCGTGGGTTTTCTCCGGGTACTCCGGTTTCCCCCACCCACAAAAACATGCATCATAGGAACACTCCAACCAGTACCCATGACCAAAGAACTGGCTTTAGAACTGGAGTTGGTCCCCGGGCGCTGCTCTGTGGCTGCCCACTGCTCCTAACTATAGGATGGGTCAAATGCAGAGGACAAATTACCCCACGGGGTTCAATAAAGTGTATCTTATCTTATCTCTTATCATATTTTGGCACGAATATAAGCTCCAATGTGCCTGGATCTGTGTCAACTCAACAAGACCCCCCAGGTGACCATCTTGGATTTCCTTCTAACTCAGGAATAAGATTCACCAATGTATCTGAAGTACTCTCCCCAAATATCTCACCATATTTTTACATTCATCATAATAACAGCTAACAGGACTATTGGGATGAAAATAGGTCATGAGGTTCAATAGCAATGAGACTACTTTAGTCAAAGTCTGTAAAGTCACACTGTACCTGAACTTCAGTAGAGATTGTACTGCTCAAAAGTGTCACAAATTGTTTTGAACTCATTGTTCTGAATTTTGTAGTTCCTTCCTGTGTTGGTAGTTGGTGGTGTAATTACACATAGAATATCACCCTTTGGGATCCACCAGATATCCTCCCTGGTAGGCCACCTGAACGATTTTGTTGGACCTCTGGGTGACATAAATTTGATGCTATAGTCCTCATTGTCCATACGAAATTCCAGAACCATTCCAATTCGCCAGTGTCCATCATATGTACAAGCCACATACTGTCCAGGACTTGGGGTTGTGATTTGTCTTGCAGTGTGACAGCCTTGCACATGTACCATTGTAATGTTATCATCAGTGGAGATGCGCTTGGCCATGTATCCACCCTCTGTTGGCTCTGAGATGTAACACATCATCTGTACCATATAGCTTTATGTTTCTTTTTTGAGGAGTGACCAACTAGTGACCATTGCGAGTGGTTGAAGTCATAATGTAGTTCTGATTCATTCTTCTTTCATTCCAATATTTTAATATCTGGACCAGTATTCCAATCAGTGTCTAAATCTGTTAATTAATTGATTATCTCCCTGTTTTAACAGGTCATTATAGTCATGTTATATGTTGTGTATAAAGAAAATCAACAGGAATCTGGTCATCATAGGTGAATCTTAATATGGATTGATGAGGGATATGTGTGATTTTCACTGATTACAGCTGTATGCTAAGGTGGTCCATGTGGGAAATGGTAGGAATAAGCTTAAAATGATAGGCAAAATACCGCACTTTGATGAAATTATTTCACCCAGAAAGAAAGACGGAACACCTTAGAACCACATTCAATCGAAAGCTTAAAATGTAGTCTTTCGAGGAATAAATATTGCAAATCGATAAAAGTTGGGCCACATGGACTTAATGGCTGCCGAAATTAGGCTATTTCACTAAATTGGCTGACTTTGGCCATCAGTGGCGCCACCTGTATGGTGTTTTAAGGAATAATTGTTATGCCCATACAAGCTCCATATCTACTTTAATTAGTAGCCCAAAGATTTTGTTGCTGGAGATAGAATTCTAATTTTGACAAATTTTTGATTATTTAAAATTTGTTATGGCCCATTGATTTTTTCCCGTTTTCTGAGCCTCGGTGCATCAGCCCATGACATAAGGGGTATGATTTTATATTTTCTCCCTGGTCTCTATAAGTAGTACTACTTGCGTAACTAAACTTAGACCTGTACCACTTTTGGATTTCTCATAGTAGGCCCCCTCAAAATGGCCCAGAAATAAGGATTTGCTCAGGAGCGCAGACCCCCCTCACACTTAAAGGCCTGAAATTCGAGGACTATGTGGAATTTTGATTAAATATTTGGGGAGAGTACTTCAGATACATTGATAAATGATATATCAAAGTAGGAAGAAATTCGGAGATGGTCATCCGGGAAGGTTAGTCCAATTGACACGGAATGTCTCGTTTTCATTCTTATTTTTCTGATTTCTTATCTGTGTTATTGGTCTTTATTTGCGTCCGTTTATTTTCAGACATGCTGCTGCGTGCGCAATGGCATTACGCACGTTAATTTTTAACATTATACGCCACTTGTTACATCAAAACTTCTTTTGTGTGCACGTAAATATGTAGAACAATCGGTTTCTCTGTCATCGATTGATCAATTGAGCTCCAGTTAAGAAGGCAGTTAAGAAGGGCACAAAGACACTTGTTAAGAAGGGCGCTAAGAACGCATCTGGGAAACACCTTATCCAAAGGCTCCCTCTTAGCTGAACTATTCTTTGGAGCCTTCTTAACTCCTTAACTGGGAAACACGGCCAATCTCAGTATACAGAAAAGGCAGTATCTGCGCTCAGATTATTGGAATTTTTTCCCAGCTCTCGCGCTCTGCGCGCAGGCATTACATAGCTCTGTATTTCTAGCATTACTCACATTAAGCCAATGCCTTAGCTGCCGCGTGTCCGTAGTTTCGCGAAGTATCTTCCAATTGATTGCTTCTTTGATGGGCTCAATCCCCCCCTCTTTATACTGCAGTTTCTAATATATCACAATCTGGACATGTAATTTTTTTTTTTTCTTCATGGCATGAATGGGTTCCAAATGCAGCTTACGAGGATACATAACGAGGATATAACTGCAGTAAATAACTTACGAGGATAAATAACTGCTTTAAATATGAAAGCACCTCATTAAGACAAATTGACAGCTTGTTAAAAACTTAAAAAGGTTCCTGTGGTTGGAACAAAAACCAGAATACACAAGGGAACCACTGCAATTAACTACCAGAGCAGAGCCCCTTGGTATGGGAAACTTATTCCAAGATCTATTGCCTACTCCAGAATTATGGTCCGCTATAATGGCAGTATCATTTGTGAGGTCAGTCATTAAACGATAATCGAGTAGGAAAAATATTTAGCCTGTTGAATCTTATAGCGAGGCACTCAGTTAGACAAGAAAACTCTTGCCAAACGGAACAATGAATAAATTCGTGTGGACGCATTCTGCGAACGTTTTCACTGAATAAATAGCTACTGCTATTTATAAATATATATAGTGATTAAAATTCTCGAAGCTTTTTTATATTTGGGAAAACACATGGGATGCTTCTAATATTTAAATACGCAAGACAGCGAACTTGTTTTCTGCTAACTTTAAGGAGACCATCCAACTAGTAGCCTACATTCTCTTAGCCAAGAATGCGCGTGGATTACAAATCACTCCATGGCATGGCATGAGCCCGTTGCTCCTATATATATATATATATATGGGTCAATGAGAAATAAGCCTTTTAAAATGTTTTTTTAATAAATCTTTAAAATGTGCAGAATACATTTATTTGAAGTTGGAAGAGTGTTAATGGTTGCACAACATTTACAGGGTTTAAGTACAGTTTTAGACTGTATTTGCAATTTCACCAGCCAAAAAATGTCAGATGGCGTAACCAAAAGTTTCTTGGAAAAAAAAAAACACACTTCCTTCATTTTTTTCTAAGTGATTTTTTTTGTAAGTATACCTGAGAGTGTCTACTCTGCGTAAAACATTACTATTTTGTAGTTGAGCTGGGTATTAAAAGTAACTTATGGATAATTTATTGTAGGGGGCGGGTATTTTGGTTTTCCAAAAAATTTAAGAACAATTAAACAATAAACTTTGTTTTCTTTGAAAGGTTTTCATTATAAAATTATGCCCCCATATAAATATTATATTTATTCATATTTTAAATTACATATTTGATACATTTCAAATAGTGTTAACTTGCTCGGACGGTTGCGCCACCTGACATTTTGAGGGTTTGAGATGGCAAAACATAAAATATATATAATTTTTATGATAAACTGGAAACATGTTAAAATTAAACAGGTTTTATAGAATAAAATGATGCTTATAATGAATCATTTAAAATTATTTAAAACCAAAGTAGTGCGCTCAGACACAAAAATCTGCATGTCACGTCATTGACATATATATATATATATATATATATATATATATATATACATATATATAACTGGGTTATATTTTGCAAATAAACATCCACACGTTCCCTCAAGAAGAAATTGCCAACTAAGAAAAAAATAATGTCCATCTCTACTTTCATTTAAACCATTTTGATGAATGTGGAATTGCAGTTCGTTTTCGAAGTCGAAATAAGCATCTCAACAGTCAACAGGCTGGAGTGTTTCCAAAATGTAACCATCTAACTCAAGAAGAATGACGGCAATCATTCATTATAAAGCTTAGGCCTATAAGTGTTTCTCCCTTGATTGCATTCCATTTCACCGGCAATGTGCTGTCGCTTTCAAACGATTTTAGGAGCAAGCGGCCCATGCTGGCACGGAGTGATTTGTAATCCACGCGCATTCTTGGCTACGATAATGTAGGCTACTAGTCGGATGTTCTTCTAAAAGTTAGCAGAACAAGTTCGCTGTCTTGCGTAATTAAATATCAGAAGCATCCCATGTGTTTCCCCAAATATAAAAAAACTTCGAGAATTTATAATTTATAAAGCAGCGTGCATAATAATCGCAATTTTAGACGAAAATTTCGTCAAATGTACGCTACGGTTCTAAATCTGATATTTCGATAATATCCTCCTTAAACGCATTTACAAAATAAACCTGATGATGAAAATATTTGTACTGGAATTTGAAATTACTGTCGGTAGTCAGACTGAATAAAGCCCCTAATGCAACTTGGCAAAAGATCCGCCTGTTTTCTGATATTCTTTACCAGTGCTGGGGTTGAAGTCTCACACTCTGGAGTTCAATGCGCTTGAGGTCTTATTATCTGAGGTCCTAAGTAGCCTATTTATATTAACGTTCATGGAAGTAACACAATTGTGTATCTGCTGAGGCGCTCAGATAGGATTTTGCAACTTTTGCGGCAACTAATTGCGATTCCTCTGCAATTAAATACAAGTGGCGTTGTAATTAATCCCCAATGAGGAAATGTTTATGACCCACTGAACCTGGATGGCGTC